AAGTACAATTCTCAGCACCCACATAGCAGTTCACAGCAGTCTAGAGACCAGGGGATCTGATATCCTCTTCTGACCTTTTCAGACACTAGGCACACGCATGGTGCACAGACACAAACAAACACACATTGATACACATACAATAATAAAATAAATCTTTTAAGAAAAGTAAGACCTTAACAAGAAACATGTCGGGACCCAAATGAACTCTAACATAAAACTGGTACTTGACATGGACATGATGCCTTAGACAACTTAAGTCCGGGGCAAAGAAGAAATATTTCCAGTGTCACAACCAGTTTGGAAAAATGTGTTCTGGCCAAGCACCCCAGCACTGCAATCCAGCCCCTATCTCTAACAATAGCAGCTTCATTAGAATAAAAAAATGTGAATTTGGACCACAGATCACAACATTGCTAGATTTAAGAAGGAAAAACACATGTTCTATGACAACATTGAAGAAACCATTTTCCAACAGTGATGGTATTAAACAGGTTATTTTCTTATCATTGGCATGACAGAAACCCTAGGCGTCTCAGGTATCATTAAGGGTGAACTAATATTTTTCCTGATGAGAAAGTTGAAGTGCTGACAGGTGAGTGTGTTATATCAAATGTTCACCAGTCAGTGGAAGTATTTCTTCAGAACTTGGACTCCTTGCCCGAAATCCATTGTCTTTATATTCCAATAATTCTCAGATGCAGGTTCAAGAGAGATGCTAAGATAGAAGTTTGGGTGTAAGAAGTTTATTAAAACTTATTAATGCTATGGACATGCCATGTGAGGAGAATTTAGGCACCCACACAAAAGATACAGAGCATATAGGAGTCTAAAGAGAGGAAATCAGGGCCACGCTGCAGAAGCAAGGGTCTCATCTATATTTCCAAGGATGGGGGAGACTTCAAAGCACAAGCTTGCCATAAGGCTCCATGGAGAGATTTCCAGGTAGGAGGCAGAGGAAGGGGTTGGGACCGCGATGTATGGCTACCAGTATCCCTTTTGGTGTAAACTCACTTCTCCAGGTGAGAAATTCCAGTACCCTGAAGTTCCTGAGCTAGAGATTCACTGGCTGGTATCTGAGGAAAGGGCAGTTGCAGGTTTTGTAGCCTGAGTAGCAGATGGATTGTAACTCTTTAAAACACTCCTTTAAAAAAAATGGTAGTGTTCAGTCTTGGGAAGGTGATTCAATTGTGTTCATTAATTATTTCTATGAGGGAATATGAAGGAAGAGCACAGTACACTGCTGCATACCTAGGAGGTCAGCAAGTTAAGAGCATGCCAGGGTTGTGACTTGTGTCTCAGGGTACAGTTCTGGTAACTTGAGAGTGAAAAGAATATTAATTCAAACATGCTTGTCAAATATTCATGCTTGTCAATTATTCATCTAATGACTACAAATCTGGATTTTGTTAAGGGAATATGTGGTATTTTGAATGTGATTGATCCCTATAATCTCATAGAAAGTGACACTATTAGGAGGTGTGGCTTTGTTAGAGTGGCTATGGCCTTGTTGGAGGAAGTATGTCACTGTGAGGGTGGGCTTTGAGGTTTCCTATGCTCAGGATACTGCCCAGTGTATCAGTTGACTTCCTGTTGCTTGCAAGATGTAGGACTCTCAATTACTTCGATAGCACCATGTCTACCTCACCATGTTGTTAATGGACTGAAACTTTGAAACTGTAAACGAGCCACCTCAATTAAACGTTTTCATTTGCAAGACTTGCCATGGTCATGGTGTCTCTTCACAGCAATAGAAAACCTAAACCAGAATACTACACCCAATAACCTATTTCAGAAATAAATTTATGTCTAAAAAGTAGACTATCTGTGCATGTTGGAGCAAAAAAATTAAGGCCAGTACTTTGATTAAAAATAACAAATGGAAAACCAGACATGGTGGTACATGCCTTTAATCCCACCATGTGGGAGCCAGAGGCAGGCAGATCTAATGGTAAGTAATAGGTAGTTCTTACAGAAACCCACACTAGAGCATGGATTACAGTGAAGAGGGGAGCAGAGATGGGTCAGGTGTAAGTACAGGCTTAGCATTCAACTGTACCAGTTCCAATTCTTCTACCGCATACCCCCAAATTTGGTGCCTCATGTTTTTCATTCAACAGATTAATCTATCAATGATTTTCTCACTTCAGGATTATTGTGATGTGGGAGCTGGAACCAGAAGACTATTCAGTGCATGAATTTGCTATCTTATCATTGCCCCCTTTCTTTCATCTAAGAGAAAGAGAGAGAGAGAACACTTAGAAAAATAAAATAGCAATGACTATGGGTAACAGCTTTGTTTTTACTGCCTATTCTTCTATCCTTCCTTTCACCACTGAGGTTTGATTTATGATAGGGTGGATCCCAAGAGAGAAACCCAGTGTTGGAAATGGAAGAAGGGAAGGGATAGCTCAAAGTCCAGTCTCAAATAAGAGTGATGGAAGGCAGGAAGGTGAGAGGCAGACAGTATCCCAGTTATGAAGACCTCCACACTAGTAGATGACAAACTGTAACAGCCCAGCCTAGGAAAAGTATTGGAAAAGTTGGAAAGTTGACAGAGTAGACCAATGATTGGCATGTTTGCAATGACAATATTATAGTGCTTTTTTAGATTTAATAGCGTTGAAACTGCTATTTCATGTCATTTAAAACATGCCAAAGGAATTATTCTCATTCTCTATCTCTGCCTTCCCTCTCTCCCCCTCTTTCTGTCCTTCTCTACTCTTGCCTTCCTTCCTCTATTCTTATGTTCTTAAGTTTAAAAGCCTTAAAGTTGAATACTGGATCTTAGTTGGCTTGTCTCATCACCTGGCTTCTACTGCCACCAAGTGTCAAGAAGTAATCATGCACCTAAGGGCAAGAAATGACCATCAGTGAAGCACACATTCATTGAAGTTGTTTGTGATGAGTTTTCGTATTTTGTGAACAAAGAAGCCTCACACCAAACATCACTCATTCACTTCACACTCTTTGTAGGACAAGGTACTCTTATAAGTATTATGTGCCTTTGGTGTTATATTAGAGAGAACATTTATGATCAGCTAGCTTTTTCATGTGTCCCTACTCTGATAAGGAACAGTATTTCAGGAGGGCTGAAGGGATACCAACCACATTGTCTTTGCCAACACCCTGCTTCCCACTGTTGGAGCTGTCATGGCTCAGTAGGTTGAATGAAGCAGGGTTTACCCCAAAGTTCCAGATTTGGAGCACAGAAGACATTCATGTGGTGCTAGCATTTGTAGGTTCTTGAATTCTAAAATCTCTTGAAGAAATGCTCCTTCCTAGAATACAAACACCATGACACCTCCACAAGAACTATTTCTTCAGTTGCCCACACAGAAGAGTACCTCCCTTCTTTGACATGTGTGCCCCTGCTTCAATGACGGATTCTAAAATTCCCTTGCACCACTACTTTTTTTAAAAAAATTGTCTATTTACTTATTATATCTACAATATTCTGGCTGCATGTATGCCTGCACACCAGAAGAGGGCACCAGATCTCATAAACATGGTTGTGAGCCACCATGTGGTTTCTGGGAATTGAACTCAGGACCTCTGGAAGAGCAGCCAGTGCTCTTAACCTCTGAGCCCTCTATCCAGCCTATGGTTTATAACTCTTATTTTTACTGAGCTATGCATTTTTCTCGAGCTCCCTTCCATGTAACACAATAAATAAAAGCCCCAGAGACTAGTATTGGGGTTCAAGCTTCAAGCTGAAAATCAGGAAAGCAAAGCAGTCTTTCTACCTAATTTATTTCTATTCTAATTTGCATTATCAAATTAAATTTTTACGTCTCTCAGACTTTTACACTCCGTACCTCTTTAGTGAGTTTCTTTTCTCAGTCTAATAAATTATGAAAACTATAACTATACTACTCTTCACCTCCCTCAGAAACCCAAGAAAGAAATATTACTGAGTAATTGGAAGTGCAAGCAAGCGACTTCCAAAAAAGATGAGAAATTATAAAAGCAATTGCCTGCCTGGACAGGCACCCAAGATATCTCTGTAATGTTGTGGTATCCCTCTTTGGCCTATAGGGCTATCATCTCTCACAGACTTTTCTGTGAAGCAGGATTTTCTAAAGGACTGTCCCACCTTGTCTTGCCAAGGTTTTGCAGTCACTTTTTTTTTGTGTCCTGTTTGTCCAATTTGGACAGCATAGTGTCAGCAGTCAAGACAAGGGCACTTTTTTGCCCAGTGACTACTTCTGCCACAAAGAAAGTAAACTCCACGTGGAGTTTCTTCTATGCCCATCAACTTCTCTGAAGCAGATTAGTGCTGCCAGGAGCAGACATACCACATTGTCATAAAAAAACCTATGTTATTGAAACATTTTAAATGTCATATTCTGGGGATCTTTGAAGTATTTGAAGATGACCTGTCTTTCTTTTTCTTTCTTTCTTTCTTTTCTTTTCTTTCTTTTTTTTTGTTTTTTTTTTGTTTGTTTGTTTGTTTTTAGAGACAGGGTGTCTCTGTGGCTTTGGAAGCTGTCCTGGAACTAGCTCTTATAGAACAGGCTGGTCTCAAACTCAGAGAGACCTGCCTGCCTCTGCCCCCTCCCCAATGCTGGAACTAAAGGCATGCACCACCACAGCCCAGCTGATGATCTGACTTTCTAAAATAAATCTCTGTTTGACTTTGAAAACATGCCTAATGTGAATGCAAGTTTGATTGTAATAAGTGACTAATTACTCACCTACATTTCCTTATTACCTTATATAGTTGGAAATAACTTTCAAGGACTAGAGATTTGCATTGCATTATTAAATGAGCTGTATAGGTACAATACCTTGAACAAGATTAGAAATGTTTGTGCAATATGTCTTAACAAATTAATCTCAAATTTGTATCAACACAGAATATTTGTATTCAATATACAAAAGTCCAATCCGTTGTAAAATATTTAAAACCAGTAGCTGCTTTTTAAGAGTAGATTCAAGGCAGAGCGAAGAGGGAGCTGGAGATGTCTGACGCTTGGTTCTGAGGAGCGATTTGCAACGCAATGGATCGAGCAAGGGATTGCTTACACCTGAGAAGAACTACTGAACAGCACGTGCCAGAGGTGGAAGTCCAGGTCAAACGTAGAAGGACTGCCTCACTGAGCAACCAAGAGTGCCATCAGTACCCACGACGTTCTCAGCAGCAGCAGCAAGTTCCTGTGGTGGATTTCCAGGCAGAACTGAGACAGGCATTTTTGGCTGAGACACCAAGAGGTGATTAAAGCAGTATTGAAACATCAAGGAGGTGGAAATTAAAGAAAACAGAAGAGAGCATCAGATCTCCTGGAAATGGAGTTACAGATGTTTGTGAGCTGCCATGTAGGTGCTGGAAATTGAAGCTGGGTCCTCGGGAAGAGCAGCCACTGTTCTTAACTGCTGAAACCCATCCATTGTCTGTGGCGCTTCAATCAAGCTTACCTTGTGTCAAAGTGAACCTGTATCACACCTTTATTTATAGCCTTCCCCACAGTATTAAGGATCTTGAAATTTTACTGTTAAGTGGCTATTGTGGACCAGCAATCATGACTGTGGGTAAGAGTAGCTAGATGCTGCAGCACATTGACTATAGAATGAGATGTATCCTGCAAGATGGAAGAATCTTCATTGGCACTTTTAAGGCTTTTGACAAGCATATGAATTGGGTCCTCTGTGATTGTGATGAATTCCGGAAGATCAAGCCAAAGAATGCAAAACAGCCAGAGCGTGAAGAAAAGCGGGTTTTGGGTCTGGTCTTGCTACGTGGAGAGAACTTGGTATCCATGACTGTGGAGGGTCCACCTCCTAAAGATACTAGTACTGCTCGTGTGCCACTTGCTGGCGCTGCAGGTGGCCCTGGGGTTGGGAGGGCAGCTGGCAAAGGAGTACCAGCTGGTGTGCCTATTCCACAAGCTCCTGCTGGATTAGCAGGTCCTGTCTGAGGAGTTGGAGGTCCATCCCAGCAGGTCATGACTCCACAGGGAAGAGGCACTGTAACAGCTGCTGCAGTTGCTGCCACTGCCAGCATTGCTGGAGCTCCAACACAGTACCCACCAGGGCGTGGGACACCTCCTCCACCTGTAGGCAGAGCAACATCACCTCCAGGAATTATGGCTCCTCCACCTGGTATGAGACCACCCATGGGCCCACCAACTGGCCTTCCCCCTGCTCGAGATACACCTATAGGCATGCCCCCTCCAGGAATGAGACCCCCACCACCAGGAATTAGAGGCCCACCTCCCCCAGGAATGCGTCCACCAAGACCCTAAGATATGGTTGATAAATATCAACCTTTCCTTTCCCCTGCATTGCGTCTTGTGAAATTGTGTAGCCTGCAAGCTTTTTGACCCCTCCTTACTGTATTAATTATAGCTAATAAATACATAGAGCAATTGAAAAACAAGAGTAGATTCAATAATCTACCTTTTTATTTTATTATATCTTTATCATCCCTTTTTTCTTTTCAGGGTAGATTCAGTAATTTATACTTTTTGTCCTATCGTATCTGTATTCCCCCCCTTGTTTTTCAAAACAAAAACCCTAAATCTAATCCCCTTTCCTCAGTTTTCTTCCTGACATTTTTTAATCACTTTTCCTAAACAATGACAAATATCCATAACCCAATGAGTGACCTAAAACCACCCAACCCACCTCTTGGGGATGTGGGTGTCATGTTCTTAAAGTTACTTCCTGCTGTTTGGGGCAATAGCAACTTTAGGGTTTCCTGAAGAGAAAAATTTGGACTAACTGTCAATTAACTGTATCAATTTTGTTCAGTCCCTGCATAATGAGAAAGTGCAGGGTTTGTCTCAAGTCTGGCTGGAGTAGTCTGTGAGGCTGGATCATCTCTGCTGTTTGGAGTAGTTTGTAGTCCAAAGCTGATCTTCAGTTGGTATTGTTCAGCTTAATGGTGTTATCATAGTCCTGGTGAAAGGGTAGTGGGGTTCCATATTCTTCTTATTCCTCTTTATTTTTCTGAGACAGAGTTTCTCTCTGTTAATAGTCCTTGCTGTCCTGAAACTCAATTTGTAGATCAGGATGGCCACAAACTCACTGAGATCTTCTTGCCTCTGCTTCCCAAGTGGTAGATTTAAAGGTGTGTGTGCATGACCTCCTCTTGGCTTGGATTCAATCTTCTTTTGGAGACTTCAGAGATCTCATTAGGTCAGATTATTCCTTTTCTTGGTAATTTTTTCTGGGTAGTTCTCACTTCTTCTTTGGATGCTTCTTTGTCCAAAGGTCTTTAAATTCCTCAAGACTGTTGTGTTTATTTTCCTGGAAAGACAAAAACAAAACCCTTCCCGAAGCCTTAGTTTGGTGAGGTTCCTAATCTAATCCTTATCAGTTTTGATTTATGGTTTCTTCTGAAATTTTTGTTTTCACTTCTAAAGCTCTTCTATCATCCAGAAAAGTATTTTATCTTTCAATAGGCTTTAGGTTAATTAGCTGTTCTGGGAAGGAGTTTCATCCACAGTGGCAGGAAATGAATGAACTGGTTTTGGCATAGGGGTTTTCGAGAGCTCCCTCGAGACATTTCCCGAAGGCAAAGTATTACCTTGATAGTCTTCTTGTTGAACTTTATTCCTTAGTTCAATACCTGCCTTTGACACACCTTCTGCATAATCCAAAATGGAGGGGAGATCTGTTGGATTATACTTATAAAAAGAATTATTTCTAGAAATGCATTTTTTTAGGTGACCATGTCTACCACAATTAAAACATTTGACTTTTTGATTTTTCTTTAAACCTCTTGAAATCAACTCCCCTATCCATGTATCATCATCATGAGTTTCAATATTAATTGTATCTTGGATCCAATTCTCCTAAGGTGCTGATTTTGTATTTAAAGGCCTAATTGTCATTTTGTATTGTGCATTAGCATTTCCAAAAGCTATAGTTTCAATTATTATTTTTTTAGCTTTTGTATCTGATATCATTCTATTGACTGCTGATGACAATCTTTGAACAAAATCCATGACTGCTTCCTTTGGGCCCTGTATAATTTTTGTAAATGATCCAATTTTCTTTCCTGCTTCTCCAATTCTGTCCCTAAGCATTCAAAACTGCTGCATGGCATAAACATAAGAAGTTATCATCATATGGACATTGCCTTTCTAAAGTAATATAATCTCCTCCAAGAATTTGGTCTTGGGAGATATCTATACCTCTAGTTTGGCCCATTGTTCAATACACTTAGCCTCTTTTCTGAACCAAAAAGTCCATTGTAATTGTGGTCCAGGCTCTAGGACAGCTTAATCAAATCTTACCAATCAATTGGGATAACCCTATTATAAATTGACCACATGTTTATCATCTGCTTCACAAATGGTGAATGGGTGTCATATGAGACTATGGCGTCCTTGAATTTCCCTAAATCTAACACTGTCACAGGCTTCCAAGTAGTTGTGAGCCTAGCCTTTAACAGCTGAGCTATCACTCCAGCCCATGAGCTATCCCTCCAGCCCGGCTTCCAAGTAGTTCTTATAGAATCTCTTTCATTTGGCACTTCCTGTAAGGTTACTGGATATATCAAAGATGGTTCTCTTATGACCTTAGAGTGCTCCTTTTTAACCTTAAAATGCAATGCTGAACTTGTTTTTCCATATAATTACTCGGTCTGTGTTTGAGTATCTCTACAATCTGCTTTAATAAGTTTTTCTAAGGCCTGTAACTTAGCACTCATATCAACCAACCTTTTAGAGATAAACAATTGATTATGCCTTCATGTTCCATTTTTGAATCATCCATTATGTAATCATATAGAGACCCAATTCTCTCCATTTTAATAGTGTTTTGCATTTTTTTAATGTGGAAAAAAAACTCTCTTTTTTAACTAATCCCTTTTTTAAGGATTTCCAGTTGACTTTCCAAATCTGCCGACCTCGATAGTGAACTCTGAGGCATACACATCGGAATCGGAGAACCAGCTTTGTGGCTGTGAGCTGTGAGTGTCAGCCAGAGGAGAAGGGCTCTGGAAAAGTTGAAAAGCCTCCCAAGTTTGGGCAGCAGCTGAAGACTGTTTAGAAAAGCTACAACCAAAAATCCAACAGTTTCTCAGAGACTTGAGAAAACCTAGCTGGTCCAGCAGGGACTTAGGCAGAAGTCCTGTTGCAGCTCAGGGTTGGGTATGAGCCAATAGCCTCAAAGGTTTTTTTTGTGAATTAATACATTAATATTGGGTGCCAATTGTGACACAATAAATAAAAGACCCAGAAATGGGTATTGGAGTCCAAGCTTCAAGCTAAAGGTCAGAAAAGCAAAGCAGCAAGCCACTAGCTCTTACTTCTACTTTAGCTCAGACCAAAGGAGCAATCCTCAAACTGGTCCTGACTTCATTCGTCCTCAGATTTACTCAGACTGCTATGCTATCCTCTGTGTTGCTAGAGACAAATCCTGAGACTGACTTGACTACTAAAGACTCTGCTACTAACTTTTATACCTCTCTGGTGATAGGATTAAAGGCATGAGCTCTGTTATCTAAGCCAGGTTTGGTGGCAGCTGTCTCCAGTCCCAACACTGGGTAAACTGAGGAAGGAAAATGGATTCAAACCAGCCCAAACTCCATATGAGATCATGTCCCTATCCACCCACCAAATCTTTAGGTTATACTGAAGACAGAAAGCAATTTTAAAGACAGTGTGGAAATATCTGGGGTATAGAAAACATGTTCTGGGAAATAATAGTAGACATTTACCAAAATTCAAGAAAATATATGGACAGGCTGGTAGAGAAGACATTTAGAATCACAACAGTCATGTCTGGTAAAGAACCATTCTGTATCATTTTATAATCAAAAGAATCATCCATTTTTTCTTGAAGCAAAGTTTTTCTTGAAGCAAGTTTTCCACATGGAACTCTGGCTGACCTTGTACCTCACTTTGTAGACCATTCTGGAGTTGAACTCACAGATACCAACATGTCTCTGCCTCCTGCCCAAAGCAGGGATTAAAGAGGTGTGCCACCACACCTGGCCACACAGTAAATACAACTTTAATGCCTTTCAGTGCAGTGAAAATACCAAGTACATAGAACCAGAAACACCTTGGAGAGAAGATTTAAGAGAGAAGTACCAGCTTTCATGCTCTCACCCCCCATCAGTGTAGCATGCAGGGCCTGTAGTTTGCAGGGCCTGTCCTTCCCCTCTGCCTTCATTCCCTGGAAACTCTGCATGTCTTCTTAGCAGACCTAGGCCTCCTCACTCACCCCATTCCTTGGCATCAGCCAACAATACCCAGAGGCCCTCTCT